TTTCGGTCACAATGTATCTCAATATGTATTCTGTCAAAATTTATTGCAACATTTTACAATTTATTTGAAAAGAAATTTAAGATATAATAATTTACAATGAAGGGAACTCTACTTGTGGAGAACTTTTCATTTTTAAATTAAGATTTTATTACATGATCTGGAAGAACATTTTTTTTTTAAGCCTAGTAAAAATTTTTGGGGACGACATCAAATTCGAAGCAAGATTTTTGGGATAAATCTGTATTCCTTCGTTTTTTTCACATTCTTTTTATTATTATATCATATGGTCCTGCTTATAAACCCTTTACTCTATAAATTTCAAAGTTCGAAACTTCTTTGCAGATATGCACCTTTCAGTTCATGGCGATATTAAAAAAGTCAAAAACAATTCCATTTTAAACAAGTAGAGAAAAAATAATACTGATTTTTTCTCTACTTGTTTAAAATGGAATTGTTTCTGATTCATTTGTGATTTCATTCCTATACATCAAGTTAAATTTTTATTTTTCTGTAATTTATATTATTAAGCAAGTAAAATAATTTAAAATAATTTTTAAAAAAAATGTTTCCCTCTGCACACATCAGCAGCACACAAAAATCAATATTGAATTTTATCATATACTAAAAACAAAATCATTTTATTCCACTTACTTAATAATCCTTTAATTCTACAATTGCTAAAAAATAAAAAGGACAATACAAAAATGCAATAAAAATGCAATACCAAACAATGGAAAACCAAATCCCATAAGATCCACATATGCACTCGTAAGTAACTTCATAGTCTGTTGCATTCTCATGTACAGCATACGAATTCCGGATGCGCTTGGCATTCCCAAAACAGATGTTTGTTCGTCTATCCGTCAGTGTACATGCCATCCAAGGATGACCACATAATCAATGTAAATACACACACCAGCATATACACAAATCTACCCATACATGTCTACTTAAAGCCAAATAAAAACTTAATGCCGCCACAAACTCATACTTGCCAGCATACGAAATAAGTTGCTGGTGCATTTTATGCCATTCGAAAGGAGTAAAACAATTTCATGCTACTTCCGTTTCATATTAAAGTGACATTAAAATTTCGCCCATGTGTTACTTCTTGTTTCATTGCATTTCAGTACAAATACTCAAATACTCGAATACTCTTACAAATACAAATGTAATCATACTCGTACATACAAGTGCACAAGTGCACTGCTGCACATTTATAATAAACTGTTATACTAACAGCTTGATAGCATATCAACGATTGTGGTTATGTCGAAACGGAAATGCGTCGGACTGACCGGAAGAATGAGTATACAGTTTGTGCATCAATATTAACAAAGGCACAACATGTACACAACACCATCACAACACGATGACATCAAGCCAACAAAAAGTGATGCGAATATTGAGACACACAATTTCAATCTATCCAAAGTCCTATAAAACACATCGCATGCCCTGACTGACTATGGTGCACCTGTGCCAGCATTTGTGTAATAAGTATTTTTATTTTTGAAATTGTATTCAATACGAGTATACACCAACATACTAACACACCAACACACTAACTCACTCCCAGTCAAACTCGATAGCAGCTCAATTAAAAATGTTCTTAACGTTGTTGTTCACGTAGTCAAATTTCAATCAAGACCAACGCGTTCACATTAACTACAAACCACGTTCAGGATGCATAAAGTTCCTCTCGCAATACCAACTATTGCATGCGCCTGTAATGACAAGTAGCAAAATTTCTAATCAACTCAAATGCACTTACACACACAGCTGTACACACATATACACACATCCACATGCACTCAGTCGCAGCGACTGATGCATTTCTATAAAACCAAATTGGCAAAGTTTGAGGAAAATTGCAATTTTCCTGCTTCAGCTTTTGTTGCTAATGCAGTTTGTTGTTGTTGCTGCTGCTGCTGCTGTTATTGTAACATTTGTAGTAATGCAGAAATAATGTGGGTTTCCATTTTTAATTAAGTTAAAAAATATACTTGGAAAAATGTTTTCTGCATTTTCCAAATATTAAAACCACATTAAAGAAGCTTAAAAGCAACCACAGAAATGGCTTATTTTAATATTTTTGGTACGTTGATTCAAACTAAAATGTGGCCAATGTGGAAAATTCAACAGACAAATAAAACAAAATTTTCCTCATTATGAAGTTTAGTTATTAAATTTAAAATATAATTCAAATATTTTTCATTAATAATATTATTGGAAAATAAGTATCTAATTTAAAAATTAATGCTATTAAATGAAACTAATTAATATTGATACCGATTGTGTGGGAAAGAATATGCTATAGAAAATTATAATTTTATAAGATTGCATTGGAAAACTCAAATTATAACATATCGTCTATTAAGCCTGTAATATAACCAATAACACTACAATAACTTCAATTTATTTATCAACAAATTCTCCTTCTCCTCGCACGGACTAAACCCCTC